CGTTGACTTCTGCAAAGAGGGTCATGTGCACAAGGAGTCTTTTTATAGTCTGGAGAGGAGCCTGATGACCACCAGCTGAGTGCAATTACCTCCTGTAACTGCGCAACTGTTCCTGACGCCTAGTAGCTCTTCGATGCTGTGCATCCAGGAACAACTCACTACTGGCGTCTGGCTCACTCTCCCTTGTCTCCTCCCCACTGGTCCAAGGCTCACGTGCCTCCTGGTGGCTAACCAGCCTCTCTGCACCCTGCTTGGAGTTGGAACCCTGTCCAGGGTCCTCCACATCCTCCAGAGCCGACTCATAGGGCCCCTTGCTGTCGGAGTATGGTGGCAGCTCCAACGGCTCCTGATGGGCCACAACAGTAACATAATTAGTGTGAGTTACTTAGCACCAATAGAAAAGAACATCTGTTGGTCAGGATTGAGCTGTGGAATCTTTGGTGGTCTCTGAGCTTGATTGTTCACTTGTAAATGTTTTATTATCCAACTAGTTAACATCATCAGTGCTTTATAGCAGTGCTTAAGCATAGGTTACTTAACACTGCTAAGAAGGGCAGAAAAATATCACTCTTTGTTACACAGTGCAAAGTTTGCATCCCAGACCTGGATGCAAGAACCCCCTCCCCTCATTATATTTCATGTTTGAAGTCCGTCCATCTCCCTCAAGGAGAAACTCTACTATCAATAGGCACATGCTAATAAACCAGTTTAAAGCTAATCAGTATTTGTAATATCTATCCTGCTACTGAGTACTTGTACAAAATCAGGCCTTTTGTTTATAAAAAATATATTCTATTTTTTTTTTTACAGATCTGTATGTTTATCCTTATTTTTTAACTGCATCCCCATCTTCAGTGGGGATGCAGTTAAAAAATCAAGATAGTGGTCATAGAGGTGTGATGGAAGCCATGCTTCTGTGTATATGCAGGCAATGTCAATACACCTACAGAAGGGGTGGAGATTTAATTTGACTGCCATTTCTTAGTTGATAATGTTTGATGAGTAACACTCAATATTTAATGACAGCATTTGATGATTCCAATTTGAAAATTTTTGACAAGAGTTTTAAAAATAATATGTAATTGCATTTGGTATCTGACAGGTTGAGATCATCTCAAGCCTACAAATTAAAATGAACAGCAGATGCCCACTTGCCGAAATACTTGAATTTCTGATGTGAATTTGAAGCTTCTTGTTTGAATGTGGATTAGTAAGATAGGAAAAAAAAATGACAATTTTCAAATATTAATAGTCATTTGTTCCTTCTTATAAAATGATGGGTGGTGGTTTTGTGACTAACAGCGATTTAAGGTATAAAAAGTAATCTAAGTGAATCAATTGTGCGTTTGCAAACCTTCCTGTTTTGAAGTTTTGCAAAATTTTGACCACCATTGGTAAAGAATATTATAGATAGTCCTTGACTTATAATCACATTTGAGACAAGGATTTCTGTTGCTAAGCAATGCAGTTGTTAAGTGAGGTGCCTGATTTTACAGCTCTTTTTGCCATAATACAATACAATACAATACAATACAATACAATACAAAACAATACAATACAATACAATAGCAG